TAACAATTGAAGGACTTGAAATAGTTAACTGAAATAATTTCAATCTTCAAATATGTGGTCAAACTTTTTGCCACTTTGACAGTGCCTTAGCCATTTTGTTTGTATTAATGTTTGTAACAATTTGACAATGCTTTAGTAAACATTTAAATCAGTATTTATAAGTAGTAGAAAATTTTCCATCTTGTTATGGTTTCAATGATTTAACATTTCCTTTTTGCAATCTATTTTATTCACTTAACTTTTCTTTTTCTGATGATCTTGTTAATTCTTTTTCTTCATTTTCTCAAATTAATGCAGATTGCAGATGTCTGGTCTTGTGGAGTGACTTTGTATGTCATGCTGGTGGGAGCATACCCTTTTGAAGACCCAGAGGAACCCAAAAATTTTCGGAAGACAATACAGGTAACTTCTTATGCATATTGTTACTGCAAAATCCTCATTATCTGTCTTATTTGACTCAAATCATTTCCTGTTATGCAGCGAATCTTGAACGTACAATATTCGATTCCTGATTATGTACATATCTCTCCTGAATGTCGTCATCTAATATCAAGGATTTTTGTTGCAGATCCTGCAAAGGTAATCTCTTCCACAAATAATTTCAGTGTCCTTTATTCATATTTTCTTTGGTGATCTTCAGTCTCAATATGATTTGAGGCTTTGTAGTGGTGTTGTAACACTGTGGTGCATTGCTCGTAACTATTTGAACTTCAATTGTGTCTAACGAAAATCTTGTACTAAGTGTTTCTGGAGTTCAACGACTTTGTTAGATAATTTCCCATAGTTCAGTAACCTTATAAGATATTAACTCCTTCATTTTGGTTCTTATGTGAGGTTTCTTTCTCTCATCTTGCTTTATCTTTGCATTGCGACAGAGGATATCAATCCCTGAGATCAAGAACCATGAGTGGTTCTTGAAGAACCTTCCTGCAGATCTCATGGATAATACTACAAACAACCAGTTTGAGGAGCCAGATCAACGTATGCAGAGCATTGACGAAATCATGCAGATAATAACTGAGGCCACCATTCCTGCTGCTGGGACCAACAGCCTTAATCATTACCTCACTGGAAGCTTGGACATTGACGATGACATGGAAGAAGATTTGGAGAGTGATCCTGACCTCGATATCGATAGCAGTGGAGAGATTGTCTATGCAATGTAAAAGATATGTGGATGTCTAAATTGACAACAGATCAAATATAACCAGTTTGACTTTCGCAGATCTTAATCAGCTGGGCGATCTTTTGGTATCCACTGTTTGTATATGAAATGCAAGTTTGCAGCAATTCAGGTTCTCCGCTCTTTGTTTTCTTTAGTGACTGTTGCTGTTATGTATTGCTTGATTCCACTTTCTAATTAATGCGTGTTATTGCAAAAACTACTGTGTAATGATATAATTTCACAGTAATGCTTACTCTGTAGCTGTAAATTTTCTTCTGTTACTAAATGTAAGATAGTTTTAATCAAATCTTGCATGCATCTGACACTGTTTTGTGAATTGCTTATATATATCTTTCATTTGAAGCAAAAAAGAAAACATGGTAACATCTATCTTCTATTAAATGATTACTAGTCATGACTGTTGTACAAATACATCTTTACTTTGCTACTTATTTTGTGTTTTTTTTAAAAAGTATTAGAAGTGATTATAACTTATGTTTCTCATGCGAGGTCTCAAATAACTCTGTCCACTTTCTGAAGTATGTAACAAGTTCTGTAGTTCTTCATTTAATTCTCTTGTTACGCCAGTCCCTAACTTGATACTTCATTTCCAGGCGACACCCTAAACAACAAATATTTGTATAATATCAATAGGATCAGAAGTTGTATCAAATTGGTAACAGTGACATGTTTCAATTCAAGACCACAGATTGCTTACTTAAGGTTTATGCCATTCTTGTTTCTTAGGCTTCCTGGAACACTCCCTTTGAGACGGTTGTTTTGGAGAAACCTATAAAACCAGAAATTTTAGTTATGGACTTACAGAGATGAACATTAATCATCAAATATACAAAATCAAAAACTGAGTTAAGTAAATAAAAAAACAAAGGAGCATACACTTCTCGAAGTTTAGGTAGTTTTCCTAATGATTCAGGGATTGATCCTTCCAACTGGTTGTTCTCCAAGTGCCTTTTCCATTGCAGTGGAGATGAATATATTCGTTAGAAATACAAATTAGTATAAGAATTAGAGTAAAGTAGGAGGAAGAAAATCTAACTTTATTATTGCGTGGAGAAGGGTAGAGAGGCAGGCTCATTATCTATGTACGGAACAATGAGCCAGGTGTCTCTCTGAGATTTCTCGGTCATAAGAAAAAGAGAGTAGGATGAAGAACAACAAATGGGAACTTACAGAGTTTCTAAGTTCTGCAATGAGCTTAAATCAGGTATTTGACCTGTCAGTTCATTGCTTCCAAGCCACCTTTAAGAGTCATTTACAATTAGTATATATATATATTCCATCTATAGATAACAAAACCAAGCAATGTAATATGATAAAGTATAGCTTACAGATGACTGAGTGCAGTTAATTTAGATATGCTTGGTGGCAATGCTCCAGAAATTCCAGCATTCGTCAAATTCCTTTATTAGAAAACATAACCAAGTGCACAAATGTTGCATCAAAAAAGTGGTATATCGTTGGTCTAATATTAACGGTGGATCAAATCAGAAATATTTAACTTACAGGGCGATGATTCGTGCGTTCGTGCCAGAAGAACATGTTACTCCACTCCATGACTTGTCCTTCGGAAGGCATGGATCACCATGCCAATCTTGAGGTTTTTTGTTAAAGCTTTTTCTTAAATCGGTCATCACTGACACTGTTTAAGTGCAATAAAAATGTGTTACTAGAGAGGGTAACACCTAAATTGACAGATAAGTTAGACATACGATGGTACTGACTATCAACTTAGAGTTCTGGTTCCGTCACTGACTAGTAAAGACTGCCTAGAAAAAATTGCAGAAAAAGAACCATTACCATCTCTAGTGAGAGTTCTTCCAGCAAGAGGCAAAAGTTGGAAGAGTTCACCAGCAGCAATTACTGGACCAACAGGACTAGTATTCGCGGGAACCAATGTGATCTTCGTCTCCCCTTCAAGAGGCCAAGTTGTGCTATAAACAGTAACACCACTGGTTGTGACATTAAGGTTGCTAAAGAATTTCACTCCGTTCACTAAGACATCAAAAACTCTCCAGCTATACAGACTTGGGGTTCTGTTATCTTGGAAGTACAAAGCAAGGTAGTAATAAGTCTTAGGAAGTGGAAAATTTGGCCAATTTACCACAAGAGACTTCCCTCTACTGGCTGTCACTGAATTTTCAAACACCTTCTCTGGTGGCATATTCCAAAATGTTGTTGGAGTTACCGAGGCTTGACTTGTCACAACTGGATTGTCGTCTACTAATGGATCCCAATGTCGATTATATTTGTCATCTGGAAAGCTAGTTCAACATCATCAATCAAATTTCAGTTAATATTCCCGTGACGAAAAACATTTAAAGAAGAATATAACGACAACAACAAACCAAATGTGATCCCACAGGTGGGATCTGGAAGGATAGAATGTACGCATACCTTACTCCTACCAAAGAAAGAGATAGAAAAGGTTAAAAAAAAAGGCATACATACGTTAGTTTATCATGAGATCCAAAGCTATGACGAGCAAGAGTAACCAATGCATATTTCCCAAAATCAGTAGTATTATAAAGGGAATCATCAAGATACAACACTTCAATAGCTGAGATAAAAGGGTCAGAAGTTGTGTGCTCATTTCTAGCAAGACAAATACGCAAAACCTTATTTTGAGCAACCATAATAACCTCATAATAAGAGCTAAGGCCATCTGCATAATCCGCCGATGTATTAATATTCCACTTTGTACCATCAATGATTTGATCAAATATTGGTGGCTCTGTGCCTCCATCAAAACCTCCATAATAATATATAGTTTTGATAATCAATTTTTTTCCTTTATTCACTGGGAAATTATAACAAAATTTCTCTTCAGCATCAGCCGGGAAATGACGAACAGAAGACAATAATGGCACTAGACCTTCTTGTTTTATCTCTGATTTATTCCCTGTTTTTATGAACCTATCATCCGGTCCATATGTAAGTGAATCTTGTTGGATTTTTTCATTTCCACCACAATTTAACAGGAAACCTGAAACAACATTTATATAATTATATGTATACGTTTTAATAGGTTCAGTTGAATTCACAAAACGCGAGCAATGTTAATTAATTTACCTTGAGGTTGATTAACATCAATGGCGGCATGAATTGTCAGGGGAATGCTAACAAGCCAAAGGAGGAAAATGGAAGTGGACATTTTTTTTTGGGAAAATAATAATTTGGCAGAACAAGGCAGAGGCCTGGTTGCTCCTGGTAAAGGGGAGAGAAAAAAGAAAAGGAATTAAAGGCTTTTGGGCATTAAGAGATGGAAATTGTGCCATTCATTCATCGGAGATTGATTGGATCACCTTACGTTGCATTTATTTTTGTATGTTTAATAATGAAGTAAAGAATTGTGTATAATCTAAAATATGAACTCTAATTATAATTAAGTATTAGTAAGTGAGATGGTTATTTTCTTAAATAAAATTCATAGATTTCCACATTTTAGTCATTATTATAAATGTCAAATATTGAAAATATTAAATGGAACACCGATGGTATGAAGTTGATATTGAGTATCTTATTAGTTTGATAGGTAAAAAAAATTGATTTTGGATCTAACCAACTCAAAAATTAGATTAAATGGAAGAGTATTGTTCAAGTCATATATAAAGTTCATCAATGCGTGAGAATCAATACCCATCTCACGCTAAGACTGAACATTTTGTGCGTGAATAATTTAGTATGAAGATGCAACATCTATTGTTATAAATTAAAATGAATCTAGCTCGATAATATATATAAAAATAGATCGTAGACTTAATTTAACTTAAAAAAATTAGCTCCAATATAAAAAAAATTGTCCAAATCATACAAAAAAAAAAAATTAAGTATAGTTAAAACTAGTCAAACCAATGGATAAAAAACCCTACATTTGATGAAAAGATAGTAGTTGTTCTGAGCCACCGCTGACGAGCCTGGTTTTCTTCCCAGTTTTTTGAACTAAGCTCAGTGCGAAAGAAAAGATATCTCTTTCCAATTCATTTTGCCCCTCAAGGTTGTCACTTGTCTCTTCTGTTTCCAGAATTCATGGTTCCTTGTTTATGCTTTTTCAATTGATTTTGGTAGTTCAAATTTTCGATTTTATTTGGAATTTCATGTTTAGGGTTAACAATGAAGGCGTTTGAAGTTGGTGGAACCACCCTTTGTCTTGCCCTTTTCAGCGATGTTACTAATTCTAAGTAAGTTTCTTTCTAATATCTTTAAAGGACCTATCTTTAATATTGATGGACTTGGATGGACGTAAGTTGAGGTTTCACCACTATGTTTAAGGTATATGTAGACAGGTTGCACATACAAAAGAGATGCTTAAGTTGAAGTTTCTCTAATTTTTGTTCTTTTACCCTTAAAAGATTCAATGCTTCAGTTAATCAAATATCTAGCAATGTGGTTAACTTGGAAAACTACAAGTCCTGTTTGTTATAGACATGGAAAATATGCAAGGGTAGATGCGTATAAAAGCGGGTGCGAGTCTATAAATGAGCTTTTACCTGCTTGGTTGATTTATTAACTTGTGTTGTTGCTAATATGTTTTTCTTCACTGCTAAAAATTGTACATGTTCCTTTCCGTCTTTGGACTGAGAAATGGCTCGATGACTGTCATGGATGTGAATGTCACAGAGAGACAAGCTTACTACTTTCTAGTCACTTTTTTCTGCTTTTGGATTGGACTACCAAAGAGCTATCATGGGGGACTATAAGTTAGTTTCTTCCATCTGTTTTATTTTTTATTCATGAGGAGTTAACGGGGAAGCATTATCTAAGTTTGTAAAGATACATGGTAGACCACAACTCTTAACTTTAGTAGATGGTTTCACAGTCTATAACTTGTAAAGTTGGGTTCTCTATTCATTGCATTGCAGTTAAGAAGTTTGTTCAATTGGAACTAATGGAAAAAAAGACACTTGAGACATCAAGTGCAGCCATTATGAAGATATGTGCATACTCATGTCTGCCGTTATCTCATGTTTCTGCAGAGATTTGGCAATCCTGAAGAACTATTTACTGATACTGTAGAATATAGCATTTACAAATTTGTTGGACTGTTAACAGGATGCTTTCCAGGATTGCTAAGTATTGTTCAGAAGTATTCTTGCACATTTTTTTGGTAAATCCTTGGTTACTTTGAAGGATATGATACTTCCAAAAGTTTCAGGAAATGAATTGGATGCCTGGAAAAGTTATCTGGGTGTAGAAAAATGGAGTATTTGACAAAGATAATGAAATTATACGCTCAATGTTAAGTTTTGGACACTTGGGCCTAAGCTTGAAAAGATATTGCGTAACTTGGTTATGAGCCTGTAACCTACATTATATATGGAGAGAATTAATGTCAGGCATTTATTTCTAACTAAGTAAATGACTACATCAGCAAAAGTGAATTATTAGTATCAGAGAAATAAGTTATGCTTCAAACAAAAGTGCGTTACTAGACGAGTTTAAACAAATTGGAGTGATTCATCTTTTGCAGAGAACTATTGGACTTAATGCAGTCTGCAACATTGGAGCCAGAAGTAGCATTTCTGAATGCATCACTTGTAAGCACACTCCCTTTACTCATTCTCAAAGCTCACTCACTGGTAGCTGATTTCATCTTTGGGCATATTTCAACAGATCCCGGATGTATTTCCTGTTTTAGCAGCTGCACACAAGACACTTGTAGCTAAATCACGGGATTCACTGACTACACGGACCCCCCATTCTGAGCTTGTTTACAACTTCTCAGGATCTAAGCATGTAAGAAGCTCCAAGGGTTCTGAAATAGAATGGATTTATCTTTTTATGGTCAATTTACTTTTACTTGGCTTTATCATAGTAGATTTCAGAGTCTTTGAAAAGATGTGGTATCGCAGACAACACAAGCTACATCCTGGCAGCACGCTTTGGTGCTTCAGCTGATGAGGTAAGGCGACAATATTATGTCACCAAAGCTGATTTTTTTTCCCGACAGTAATGATGTGATCTTACTCTGTAACTAGATGGTGGCCATAGAAAAACTCATAAAGGGCAATGAGATTGACCTGAAGGAATTAGAACAAAGAATAAACCAGGCTCAGATTCAAAAGGTGGGTGCTGGGTGAACTCGTATTCGTGATGGTGATCTTGCTTCCTTTATTTATAATGAACTTTAATAATTCGAATTTTTGACAGCATTACAAGATATCTAATCTGGAGCTGGAGATATCGTCACTTGCAGATGCAATAACCTGCAGAATTGCTGCCAGAGACGCTTTATAAGCATTGCACGCCTATTGCACTATTCATTTCATCTTTTTATGTGTAAACTATTATGTCAGGATCTCGACAATTACTTTCCCAACCTTGTGTGAGATACCATTCCATAGATTTAGAAACCTCCCTTCATGCTGTTGTGATTGTTTTTACCTTGGCTTGCTTGTTTTTTACGTCTTGATAAATTTTGCAAAAACTAATCATGGCTAATCAGGCCTTCTAAAAGTAAAATATGGCTGGTTGACTGGTTTATAGCTTCACCGACTGTACAGAATTTCTTACTTAATTGATACTTATACTGTAGTTGATACAACCTTGCACCTGTGGATTCCAATAAATAAGAGCACGATTAAGTAAAAGGGTACAAAGATATATCCATGCACTACAGATGGACAACATAAACAATTGTAAAAGTAAAATATAAGTCTTGAATCAATGCACTCACTTCTTCACCCAAACATTCGTCGACATAAAACCGCGCATGACATAAAGAATTCCACCCATAGTGTAAAAAGCAAAGAAATTTCTCAAACATAAACGCGAATAATCGAACACAATATATGGACTGAAAAAGGAAAAAGAACATAACTAGGACCACCCTATATACACACTAGATAAATCTTCTTGCACACTGATCAATCAATCAACAGTCAACTAGTTCCTAAGTCAACGCCTCTTGCCTGACATGCTGATGGAAGTAACTTTCATTGGCGTTGCTACAACCAGGGGAGCCTCCGGTGAGTCACTGACAGCATACTTGTCATGCATGAAACGACTCTCAATAATGGATTCATCCTTGGGCACTATCTTGTAACAATAACAACTCTTCAGGCCTTGCTGATTCTGATAGCAACGATGAGCACTGTCCTTCACCTGTTGGAAATTCCATATCACGCTAAATTTGCCTACTGCTGCAACCAAATGGCGTTCTTGTTTTCCACTTTCAGTAACCTGGAAGATGACATACAAGGCAGGTCACATCAGTCGCTTACTTTCAGCTCAAGGATGAGTAAAACACAAGCATGAACTGCTACTACAGTATTATTCTGCACAAAAAAAATAAAAACAGCTAACAAAGAAAAAAAGATTTCCAAGCAATCTATTGTCATGCAAAAAGAGGGTAAGAGTTGCTAGGACAAACAAATTTATCATGCAACAAACATTAACCAGATCTTTGGTGGATCTGGTGCAAGTAAAAAAATGTATGCAAACTCAAGTGATACTTCTGTCATTCCATAGCTATGGGGTGGTCATATTCCATTCCAATGAATTGCTGCAGCACAGTGACAGAGGGCAGGCAACAAAGAAGATAACTCCCAGTGACATAGAAAAATGTATGAAGCTTGACAAAGAGGTGTAATGGTCTACTAATCTATTGCCAACTCTACTAAGAATATTCTATGACCAAACAAAATATGGAAGCAAAGAAGATACTACATTGTCGCTCATCTGAAACTTGCTAGTTTCAACGGCAATTGAAGTTTGCACCTTGAGTACGTTCTTTAATGGAAAGATACTTGAATTTTAATCGACCAAAAAGTAAAGATTTGTAATATTCTAATAGCAGTTGAGTTTGTAAGCTAGTCGCATGAGGTTTCAGAACATTTACTGAAGTAGAGGTTCATTACCTATGCCATACTGATCATTTCAGTCTAAGGTCATCGCATTTACTGAAGTCTCAAAAGAGTTTACACGGAAGGAGCAACAACCAAGTTATATGAACTCACAACACAAAAAACAATTTTCATGGAGATAACATGAATCCTCACATACAGCCTCTTCAACAAACAAGCAACATGAAAGTTGCAATTAGCTATGCAACATTTATATGTTAAAAAGCTAAATAAATTTGTTATTCTTACCCAAGAGAAATGTCCACCATGGAACTCGTTGTTTGCCCCAGCTATATGCGCATCCACAGGAGTCAGCTTTAATAATCTTGGAGCTGGGATTTTATTTCCCATTCGACCAGTAAAACCAGTTTTGGTCTTCCCAGCTTTATCCGTAAACAAAGTGCATATTAAGATCAAATATGTATCAGTCGTGCCCAGTATCCATTTGCCATCGTAAGTAACATCAACATGTGTAATTGGAGAGCCAAGGCCAGGGAATGCAGTCTTTGCTTGCCTCATAGAGGTCTTCGAGTACAAGCGAATCTTCCCATCAAGTGATCCAACTACAATGGAGCCATCACCAGTCGTGGCAAAGCACTGAAAATTCGTTCCTCTTGAAAACTGATGCCCCTGAGTCCAATTCAACACTGGAGAACTCGTATTTGCTAATGTCTGAACAATTCCCTTCTTATCACGCATGTCCCACTGACACAGCCGGTTATCATCCAAACCCAAAAATGTCGATTCAGAAGGATCCAACTGTGACCCTTTGGTATCATTTGTTATATCCTTCATGGTAATATCAGTCCCGTCCTTCTCAAACTTCCATTCAGTAACAACTTTACCAGTCTCGATATCCAATTGGTGAAGTCCAGTTGAACGGGGCTTCCCTTCCTTAAAAGGACTCATTAGCATCATATTGGTTTCTCCACGCATCAAAAGAGCCTTTTTGGGAGTTGAGCCTCCGGACCACTTATCCTTCTCATCAAATTTCACATAAACACCCTTCCCGTGGATTCCGTGGCTGAAATTTTTCACAACTTGAACTCCTGAATCATTCACAAGAAAACTATTATCTAAAGCCCCTAATGCCAAACTCTGTATTCCTCCACCAGTAGCAGCTTCCTCAAATTCCTCCAGCAAATCTTGCCTATCCCTAGCCGGTGTCATGGGACTCTTTCCACTACCCTTCCAGACTCCAGAATCCGCATCTTCCCACATTGCATCATCTGATTCCTCAGGTTTTAACCACCCAATAAACTCCTTCCCATAAATCTTCACTTTGTTAGCCTCCGTAGCCTCCATTCCATACACATTCTCAAATAAGCAGTCCTGGAACTTGGTAATGAAATTCCTATACTCGTCATCCACAAAAAACTTCAAAGCCCATACTCCGTTATCCACAAAATCAACCCTCCTCTGATCTCCAAACATCTTCAGCTGCATATCAGTCGAAACCCTAACCTTAATCTTCTTCCCCACCTTCAAAACCCAAAAGCCCTCATCTCCTCCACTTGACGATCCGTAATCGTCTTCATCATCACCTCCGATTTTCAGTGTTTTAACAAACTCATAGTTAGTCAGCTTCTGCGAGATTATCCATTTCGCTTTCGGCGTATTACCGCCAACATGCAAGTACAACTTCACCGCATTTCTTAGATTAGTCGGCGTCACCGGCGAACCATACTTAAGTTTTAGCGCTTTCAGTTTGGAATCCAATTCATCAAGGTTTCTGTTACTCACCTGTGGAGTCCTCATCGAAGCATGATCGTCAGCGGCGTCTTCATACTGTTCTTCACTTTCTGTTCTGCTACTTCCCTCTTCGTCCTCGTAATCCGATTCATCGGAAAGTTCTAGACCTTCGCGACTGTGAGAAGCTCCCATGATTGAAATAACGATCAACCGCTGATCGCCGGAAAAGTAGATATTGTTGAATTGGAAGAAACGAATCAAACGAATCAAAATTCAAAATACGGAAAAAGTGGAAAAGCTAAAAGACGAAAAAAAAAAGAGAATTTGATTAGCTTTAATTAAAAAACGAAATTGAAATAGACGAAGACGGATGAAAATGGTTATATATATGTAAATTCGCAAGATAGCGTATATCTGACGGTGACACGTAGCTTCGTCATTAAGTAAATGGCGGCACGCTTTTCGTCTTTTGCGCGTTAAAATTACTGGGCTTTTTTACAAATATTTGAAGGGCCAAAATATTGGGCTCAAATGATTGCTTGAGATTTTGGGCCTATAATGGTAGAAAAGGAGATTACGCGTAATGCCTCTCAAAGTGTATGGTTAGGGAAAATTGTATATAATGACAAACTAATAACTTAAAATAAATGGAGTAGCTAGGGTTTGATTTAATTGTGCTCCATGACAAACGTTTGCAAAAAATTGTCAGGCACCTCTCTCCTAATTATCTCGCTCGCCACTCTCCTCCAATCTCTCACTCGCTTCCTCACTTTTTATACAAACACAAATGTAAAAAAAATTATTTCTAATTGTATAAAGCAGAGAAAATTGTATAAATACATATATTTTTGTTCCCCTCGTCCACATATCGCTCGCCACTCTCCCAAATCTCTCTCACCACCCTCGCCTTTCTCACTTATACAAACAGAAGCGAAATGTATAAATTGTGTTTCTGTTTGTATAAAACGTGAGAAAATTGTATATACACATGCAAGTACATCTAATTTCGTCCTATACACTTATAATTATACAATAGAAATACTCTCCTGCCCAGTTTCTTTTGCCTTTCTCTCTTTCTCGTTTTATATAATTTTCAAATTGTATCTAATTTCTCTGTTTCTCGTTTTATACAATTCGATTCAATTGTATTCCTTGTCGAGTCTCTTTTGTATTTCTCTCTTTCTCATTTTACACAAATTCAAATTTTATATAATCGTTCTATACACTTATAATAATTCAATTCGTTTTATACACTTCATTTTTTATACAGTTCTCTGCCCAAGTGTCTTTCTCTTTCTTGGTTTTATACACTTCGTTTTATACAATTTGCTTTAACTGTATATGTATAACGAATTATACAGTTTCTATGTTTGCTATGGAGCGCAATTATGCAAACTTTGCAATAGCATACAAATATGAATTTTTTATTTGCTATATGTGAAAGTTGCCCATTTTTATACCCACCTAATAAAATCTTGACCTTCACTTGAAAAAATTGATGGGAATTACGAATTAATTTAGGAATATATAAACATAATCCTTAACTTGGGGTCATTTGGCAATTATGATCCGTAACTTTAAATTTGCACAATTGGCACCTAAATTTGTGTAAAATTGAGCAAATTGACACATTCATGCTACATGGCATCCTACATGAAAATTTTGTGTCCTATGTGGCGTCCTACAAGTATCATTCCATCTAAGACACATGTGTCTACTTGTTCAATTTTATACAAGCTTTAAGTCCCTACTTGTGCACATCCAAAGTTAAGGATCATAGTTGCAAACTAATGCCAAGTTAAGAGTTATATTTATGTATTATGTCATTAATTTATATTGCCTATCATGCATAAATTTCAATATTTTTCCGTAAGGCAAAACTTATGATCAATTGAATAAGTTCAAGTGAAATATCACGAACGTTTGTCTTGTAAATCGACAAAAAGTTAGAAATTATGATTAATGGAAAATACCTATGTTTTACTTTTGCCTATAAGGATAAATTTTGTTCCAATTAAGCATGTTTAGAGTTTATTATCTTAAAATATTCTGAACATCTGCTTCAGGGACAAAAATTAGAATATTTTGAAGCTTATAGTATTTTTTTGTTTTAAAAATGTTTGTTTAGATGGACCAAAAACTCGAAATAATCCCTTATGGAGGCCATTTTTGTTAGATATACTTTTCTTATGGATGACAAAATATCAAGACCAACCCATCTTAGGGCCATTTCTGAAATGATGGGCCACCGAAATTAATTGACCAGTTGGGCTGGATTGTTATTAATTGGGCTTAGTTCAGCTTTAAGAACAGGGCCCAAACAAGTAAGTTTCGAGGGAGAATGCTTGTTCCTTGTTTCATAATTGTTCTATCTATACGGAGAAAAAGGCCATAAATAGTCCCTTAACCTTAGGAGTAAGCTTTAAAATAGTTCATTAATTGTAATTTTACGGTATATAGTCCTTTGACTATTTAAAAACTTATCAGTTTTGATCTATTAGCTATACACTTACCGGTTTTAGTTCTTAACTATTTATAACTCATCAACTTTGATTCATTAACTATTACTTATCGATTTAAGTCCTATAAATATTCAAAAACTTATCAGATTTGGTCTATGTCCATTTTTTAGTTACAAAATAGTTTAGGTTTATATTAACATTACTCTTCGTAAAATTAAATTTTAACTCATTTTAAAGTTGTTTCTCTATTTTCATTAGTTTTCCTCAAATTACTTTTATTAAACATAAACTCGGCGGTTCAAAATAAATTAATGAGAGGAAAAGATACAAGTCCTAATTTTATTCAATGAAGTAGAAAAATGAAGCATATAAGTTGGTAATGACTTGAAATCTTGAATTTGTTGTGTTCCCTTCTTTGGCGCTTAATGGTGCATGATGAATGCGAACTTTTTTAATTTTATTTTCCATATAAAAGAAAAATAAGAGATTTGATGTTACAACTCAAATATCTCACTATAAATTAATATGAATAGAATAATAAAATCAATCTATTTAAAAATAAATAAATTAAAAAGTTGCAAATCTATCATTTTATAAATTGCATAGTCTGAAAAATCAAACAAATGCCCTCCATAAAGTCTTTGGAATACAAATTATGGACTCAAAGGGTAGTAATTTTTTTTAATAATAAATTTTAGCGTATTCATGTCATTATAGCAATAATATGCTTCTTTATACCATTCGTTAAATAAAATCATGACTTATATTTCTTTCCTCGTAAATTTTATTTTGAATCAATGAGATTAAAGTTCCTTGCATAAGGGTAGAGAGAGAGAAACAACTTAAAAAATAGCTAAAGAATATAATTTATTGAGACATGAGTTTCGTTTATATAAACCTGGGTTATTTTATAGAAAAATAAACAGAGATCAAACCTGATAAGTTTTTAAATACTTAAAGGGTTAAATCTAATAAATATATAGTTAAGGGATTAAAATCAATAAATATATGGTAAAAGGATTAAATTTGACAAAATTTTGAATTATTAAAGTACGAAATACGATAAAAGTATAGTTAAGAGACTATTTTAGACCTACTCCTACAGTTAAGGACCTACTTATGACAATTTCTCGATCTATACCCTGACATAGACCCACTCCTGTATGAATCTTTTATGCATAATTTTTGTTAATACATTTTTTTCTAGTTAAGTTTAATGCTAAAATAATATTTATAACAATTAATTCATTTTTTCATTAAGTTCGATCAATTTAATTGATAATGACTTGAAGTTTTATTTTTAGATGTCAATTGGTAAGCATAGAAAAAAGTGCTAAGGAATTGTCTTAATAGATAATGTTTTATCACTCTTCTAACTTGTAAAAAATACTTGAGATTAAATTTAAACACGTATAGAGCCGCAACTCGCTCCATCCGCATTCCGTCTCGCCCTACACAACCTTAAATCTGCCACTATAGCCTTAAACCTGGTTTGCCCCATAGTCATCCCTAATATAAACTTCATTTCTCAACAAAGAAATAAAGATATGCATGAACAAACATAAAATATAGAATTGTTACGTCTAGGGGAGGATCTACTTGGCCATGTAGGGGTGTCATGGCACCCAATAATCTCGAAAAAATGTTATATATATATATGTGTGTGTGTATATTAATTGTATGTTTATTAGTTTTGCCACATAGTAATTGTGTTGCGTAATAGCTCAGCTAGCAAAGGGCGAATCTTCCACCTAGGCTATGCATGTTCGAAACTGACCATCACCACTTTCTTTTTTTGCTTGCTCCTTTTTTTCTTTTCTTTTCTCTATTCATCCTTATGACTATTCTTCATTAATTCAAATTGATCCCCTTCTTCTTTTTTTTTTTTAACATTATTTCTTATTTGTTTATTACTATTTTTTATTAATTCAAATTGACCCCTTTTCATAATTAATTTTGAGTTTTTTTTTTAATTTTCTCTTGCACTAATTATTAATCTTTTGATATAAGTGTAATGTGTTTATTTTTTTTATCAACTAATGAGTACTGAATTATGAACAACAAATAAATATTATGAAGAATATATTTAAATAGTAGTTTAAAAAAAAACATAAGTTTCAAAAAAAAAATTTAATTTAAAGGTTCTTGTGATCTTTATCGACATTTTTGCTATGTAAGATGACTAGGCTCAAAGTATAATTTTTATTCTTTCTCAACTATATATTTCCAATAACACATAAAGTCAATGGAAAATAAATATATTATGTTCATACTATTAGATGGTATACTCAAAATTTTAATGTGAAGAATCTTTTTTTTTTCTTAAAAGTTTCAGAGAAGAAGATATCAAATTTCAAAAAGAAAAGAAGTATATCTAATCACATAATATCCAAAAAAAAATACTACTACATGTATATTTGATCGATTCATTTGTAAAAATAAATAAAATTAATAACCTGAGTTGTAATCCAAAATTAAAGCAACCAATCCTTTCATCTTACTTAAACGTTGTGGCACCCCCGATCTCCAAATTCTAGATCCGCCTCTGGTTATGTCTTGATTTAGTATATGCTAGTGGATTATAATACTAACAATATTAGTTCTTTGGAATTCGTTGGACATAATAACATCTTGCATGTGTTATTATAATTACTTTAAAATTACACACCTAAATTATATTTTTTTTTGAGTTACATACCTAAATTATTGGGAGTGTAAGTTTCATATCTA